CCCCGGGGAGCAGGCCTAAGCCAGCAGGTGGTCATCCCCTGAGGGGTCCCAGACTGCGAGAGGGCACAGGCCGGGCTGAGGGACCCCCCGAGTGCACAAATTTTTGGGCCTCTAGTATATATATAATAAAGTTTATGAATTAAAAATAAAGCAATAAAGGAAGAGCACTGTGAGAGGGTGTGGTGGACCCCCCTGAGGCCACTCAGCTGTCACGGGGTCTGATACTCTTGGGTGTGCCGGGAGGTGGCTCTGACCTGGAACCTCGCTGTGACCTTGTGCCTGAAGTCCTTTTGTCCCCACCTGCCCCCTGTTTGCCCCCAATGCTCGCACAATCATTTCTCCTGCTTTTCGAGAAGGGGCTATCCGGGGAGGCCACCGTCAAGGGTTTGGACAGCTCCTCTGTTGACAGTGGCTGGAGTGCTGCTCTGAGCTTCAGGACAGAGGGTATTGGAAGCAGGCGTCCGGGCCAGGTCACTGCTCCTCCACCAGGGGCCCAGGAGTCCGGGCAAACCCCTGCTCCCTGAACCTTGGCTTTCTCGTCTCCCCAGGGCCAGCGTACGGCCCCAGCCAGCCGGTGTCCGCAGAGCCCGCAGCGGAGCCTGGCTTCAGTAGCACTTACCACGCTTGTGGTTTCTCTGCAGGCCGGCTCTCCTCCTCTGCAGCACGTGAGCGCTTCGGAAGGTGCTGGAACCTCTCGGCACCCAGGCCTGGCTCAAACACCGCCAGAGACAGCGGCGACCTAGCTCCCACCTGGCGAGTCTCAGTCTTCCTCTTCCTACAGCATGAGGCGCCGACCCCAGAAACTTACCTCAATAAAACCTCCTGAAAGAGTGATGGTCAAAACATCAAGTCTTTATGAACCTGCAGTTCGCTTTAAGTCTACAAAAGTTCTAGCACAGGGCACCTGTGCACGCAGAAGGCCTCAGAGGGCTGTTCCCATGCAAGATGCCAGGGCAGTGTGGTGCCTGCCAGGAAAGGGCGGTAGATGGGGTGGCATAGCTGTGTGCCGGCTGAAGGAGGTCTAAGTATGTCGATGGGGAAGCAGAAACTCTGCCCTTTGCATGGATGCAGGTAAAACATGGTCTGTGCACTGTGGGTACGGAAAAGCCTGGAAGGATGAGCACAAAACAGCTGACAGCCCCAGCCAGGCGTGGGGTGGGAGAAGTGGAACGTTTCAGCTTTTTATCGGGTGTTGTTTACATTTTTATTTTATTGCATTTATTGGGGTGACACTGGTTAATAAAACCATAAAAGTTTCACGTGCACAACCCAACAAAACCTCATCTGCACACGGCCTCGTGCGCCCATTGTCCATCCCCCTGTACCCCCCCCCCCTTTGCCCATCTCCCCTCCCACCCCGTTCCTCTGGCTGTTACCACACTGTTGTCTGTGCTTATGTGTTACCTATACTAATAATAGAGGAATATGCAAATTGTCCGGGACGCCATCATAGTCACAGTAACGACCGAACAGGCTGCGTGGGGCGACCAGGCCGGCA